CGGACCCCGTTGCCGCCATCTTGCTCCGAGGCCCCCGGAAGCCTCCGGGACGCCGCCGCAAGGGACCCCGGGAGGGGTTGTCCGCAGTGCGCCTGCTCAGAAACGCCTGCTTCCCCCGGCTGCGGCGAACGGCCGACTCCTGTGCTGGAACATAAAGAGGACTAGATGGCACCGGGTACCCCAGTTGTGTCTTCTAGGAACCTGTCGGTCTCCGGTGCCTGACCCTCCGTGGATACAGCCTTGCCATCTTCAATCCCTCGCTCCTGAAGAATCTGGTCTGTCTGTGGCGCGCCTGATTGAAAAAAACCTCTGGGGCCCGGCTTTATTTGCATTTCATTAGCATATCGACCTAAGGCGCCCTCTGCGGGACGAAGCGGGTCCTGCGGGCTGGTTTTTGTTATGTTTTGGTTTGGTTTTTTTGGTAAGGGGAAGGGGATCAAACTCGGGTCCTTGTGCTTGCGAGGCAGGCAGCACTGTGGGCTGGTATTCTTAACGCTTGTCACTTAACTACACTCAAAAATTCAACAAGCCTAAAAAAGAAGTTGGCTCTCAATGAATGCCTTAATCTTTCCAACTTTTTTTTTTTTTTTAATGTTTCTTTTCGTTTTTGCTGTACTGGGGATGGAACGCGGGGTGCTCAAACCGAATTACATCCTTGACCCTTTTTAAAATTTTTAATTTGGAAATCATCTCCTACGTAGTTAAATCTGGCCTCAAATTTGCAATCCTCCTGTCTCACAGCGTCCCCAGACAGCAGGATAACAGGTGTGCGACACCGTGCCCAGCCCTTTTGTCAGCAGTCTAATCTCCAGGTCCACAATTACTCTAGTTTTTAAATGTTATATTGAGCTCCTACTGTATACCACGCCGGCACTTAATAGTACAAAGGGACAACAGGGAGTGGATGAGGAGACTCCCAGTCCCACGGGGTAGGCTGTCTTACTGGGAAGTTAGAAGATCCTGGTGTGTTCTGAGGGACTGTAAAATACTGCAAGTCCCGTGGAAAGTGATATGGAAAGGTCTTCAAAACTGAAACGCACAGCCCCGTGTGATGGCACACCTGTCATCTCAGCACTCTGGGAGGCTGAGGCAGGAGGGTCAAAAGTTTGAACCCAATGGACAAGGTGACGGGTATGCCTGTAATCCCAGCATTCAGGAGGCTGAGGCAGGATGATGGCTGAGAGTTTGAGGCCAGCCTGGACTACATAGGGAGACCCTGTCTCAAAAAGCCAAACCAGGGCTGGGAATTTAGCTCAGTGGTTCCACTGCCTGTCTCCCAAGCGCAAGGTCCTGAGTTCAATCGCCAGTACCATAAAAACAAAAACAAAACAACAACAACAACAAAAACCAAACCAAATCAAACAAAACAAAAACACTAAATAGATGAAACAGTTGGTTGCAGGACACAGAGGGATCAGTGGAGGTGGTGTCCTAAGGAAAGAAACTCTCTCTTGAACAAACTCCAGAGCAAAAGGTGCCCCATGGAGCTGATAAGCTCTCCTTGTCCAATCAAGGAGGGCCATGGGGAGCCATGGAGGGACAGAGGCAAGGGAAGAGTTCGTTCCTACTCCCCCTTTTGACATTTTATCTCCTGCAACTTACCACCTCAGCACCTACCCAGTGTCTCATTCTCCAAGCATGTAGTTTGTCTCCACCTCTACCCATACCAGACTAGAGGGTGAGGGTCAGGACCCTATGATCCCCATACCCAGCCAGATATAAAACTCTCAAGAGGGCCAGGGATTTAGTTCATTGGCATCATGGCTGCCTTGCAAGCGTAAGGTCCTGAGTTTGATCCCCAGTACTGGGGCGGGTGACAAAACAAAAAAACACCTCAACACCGTTTGTTTGGTGTTTTGGATTTGTTTGTCTTCACAGGATTTGGTTATGTAGCACAGGGATCCTCCTGCCTCAGCCTCCCAAATGCTGGGATTACAGGTGTGTGCCATCACACCCAGTGCTTGGCACTGATCTGTTGAATGAACTAATCAATGACAAATGAATTCATCCTCAAATCACTGGGCATCTAACTCAGTGGGTGGAGAAAACCCTACAGTAAATGTTTAATAGCCGGGGTGTAACATTTGTTTTTTGAGTTTTACCATATTGCCCAGGCTGGTCTCCAGATCTCAGGCTTAAGAGATCCTCCTGCTTCAGCCTACCCAGTAGCTGAGACTATAGATGCATGCCACACCTGGCTTGTGGCACAAACATTAATGACTGCAACTTGTGCTAAGAAATGAAGGTAGAGGTGGGCGGGGACAGGGCCTTCCCACTAGAACAGTCTAGCCTGGGGCTGGAGCTGGAGCCCAGGACCTCAAGGGGCCTAGGCAGGTGCTCACTATCAAGCCTTCCAGCAGCCCTAGCCTGTCTTGTCCTAGTCATTCCAAGGTTTGTTTTCATCGAGGTGAAATTCACATAAAATAAAACTCAGTCTTTAGAAGTGAACAGTGGTACTTAGCATACTGAGTGTTGTATAGCCATAGCATTTAATTCCAATTCCAGAACATTCTATCACCCCAAAAGGAAGCCCCATCTGTCCTCATGAGCAGTCACCCGTCCCCTCCCCAGCCCCGGCCCCACAAGTCCATCCTGGAATCGCCTGTCCCGGGCATTTCCTGTCTGTGGAGCCCCCGCTGTGCCCTCTGTGTCCTCAGGGTCCGTCCACGCCGTGGAGAGTGTCACAGCCTCACTCCTGCCCTGGCAGAGTAATATTCCAGTGTGCCTGGACCTCACTGTGTCCCTCTGTTCATCCACAGGAGGGCACTTGCACTGTTGCCGTATCCAGCTGTGTGACTCCTGCTGTGTAAATGTCGGTGGACAACACCTTGCCTAGCCAGATAATGGCAGCACACCCCTCATCCCAGCACTTGGCAGGTGGAGGCAGGAGGAGATCCTTGAATGTAAAGCCCACCTGGGCTACAGAGTGAGACCCTGTCTCAAAACAAAACAAAACAAAACAAAAAAGCCTTTGCGTGGCTCTTTTAGCCTGGCTTGCAAGGGCCCTAAGAGTAGAATTGCTGGTCCATGCAGTGACTCCCAATTTCCCAGATTGATTCTTGCCCAGATCAGCTGCCCAAGCTACTTGACTACCAGCGGCACGGGTGGGAGTGTGTGTGCGCGCGCGTGTGTGTGTAAATCTCCCCACTTCTCCCCAGGACTTGATGTGCCCGTCTTCGTATGCTAGCCATCCTGGCGGCTGTGAATTGTGATCTCATTGGCCCTTTTGTGTGGCCACAGTGCCGTCAAGTGTCTGTTCATGTGCGTGCTGACCACTGGTACGTTTTCTCTAAGAAAACTTCTATGTAGAGTGAGGATGTGGGCCCTACTCGAGGGAGCAGCTTTTGGACAGACTTGATTGGAGTTAGGCAGGGAGTGTCCTGAAAATCCAGCAGGAGAGCATTCCAGGCAGATGCGGCCAAAGCAAAGGCCCTGGGGCAGAAGGGAGCCTAGTACAGTGCAGAAGCAGTGAGGAGCCCCTGGGGCTACAGCAGAAAGGGAGGGGGAGGTGGAAGGGGAAGGGAGGTGGGGAGGAGAAGGTAGGGTAGTGCAGAGCCCTGTGGGCTGACGGGAAGACAGGCTTTGGTCTGATGGAGGTGGAAGCAAGTCTGGGTCCTGACTCGGGTGCTCCCAGGCGCCCTCTGATGGCTGCTACCGGGAGGGCAGGCTGAAAGGGACGATGAAACCAGGCGGAGGGGGTCCTTGCCTCTAAATTCCAGTCCCTTGGGAGGCTGAGTGGGGGGGGGGGAATCGCAAGTTTGAGCCCAGCTTGGGTAGAGCAAGGAGACACTGTATAAAAGTAAAGGTAAAAATGAAAGAGGAGGGCCGGGGGATTTAATTCAGTGGCACCACACCTGCCTTGGAAGCACAAGGTCCTGAGTTCGCTACCCAGTACCGGAAGGAAAAAAAATGAAAGAGGGCCAGGGATTTAGCTCAGTGGTTCCATCGCCAGCCTCGCAAGCAAGAAAAAGGTCCTGAGTTCAATCCCTAGTATAAAAACAAACAAGTAAATATGAAAGAGGCTTGAAGTGTAGCTCAGTGGTGAGCACTTGCCCGGGAGGGAGGGAGAAGCAGAAAGGACAGGGGAGAGGGAAGGGAGGGGAAGGGAGAGGAGGTTGGCTGAGTGAAGCAGGGGTCGAGAATCTTTGGAGGCGGGAGGGTGCAGTCCTCCACAGAGGGCTACCGAGGTGGGGTCAGCCAGACCTGGGTGCAATACCAGAGGCGGCCACCAGGCGGCGGGCCAGCGGCTTTCCTGAACAGCAGGTGCCTGGGGCTCTGGACCAGACGGTTGGGGTTTGCCAGTGTCTGTTCCCCAGGGAGGGGGCCTTCGCTCTCACCGGCTTCTGGGTGGCCCCGGGGGTGCAACTGGAAGCTGACATACAGCGGGTGCTCAATTCTTGAGCTGCGTGGACGGCTGGGCACTGATGACAGAATGGGAAGAGAGGGGACATGTGACGCCAGTGTGCAGCACCAGGGCACAGTCCCCCACCCCCACCCCCACCCCGGCCCTGCAGGCTCCGGAAGGGGGAGGGGGCGGCAGACACCCTAGCGGGGTGTTGCTGGGTAACGGGGTGGGTGGGGGGCGCAGCTGCGCACGCGTGGGTGACACTGCACAGAGCACGGGGCTGCTTGGGTCTCCAGGCAGGGGCGGAAAGGAGGCAGTATTGTCCCAGCCCAGGCCCCCCCCACCACTCCAAGATACCCGCAGCCTGCTGCCTCAGTTTCCCCAGATTGATGGCTTTGGGGCTACACTGGCGGGTAGAGGAGCATAGGAGTGCAGAGTCCACAGGCTGGGAGCGACCCGTGAGAAGAAACCACAGACACACCAAAGGCGGCTTTAAAAAAGGGTTTAATTAATTAAATACAAGGACGAGCTCAGGTGGGATGGGGGAGGGGCACCACCACGGAAAGCCCACGTCCCCTAGGGTCCCTCCTGCCCACCCTTCAGAGGCCACACATGGGACTGCTCCAGGGGTAAGATCAGGCTTAGGTCTCTCCAGACCCCTGGACAGCAGGCAGGGGTCGAGAACACCGCTATTCTGGGGTTCCTGGGCCCCAGAACAGCAGTCCTACCCCTTGCAGAGGGCAAATACAGGGACACACTGGGACCAAGCAGGACACATCCAGAGACACAGGGAACATCCGCCCCAGCCCCCGCCCTTGGACTAAGGCATTTCACTAACACTGCCACCCGAGGCCAGGCAGCCCCGTCAGCACACCTGGGAGAGAGACGTGGGGGGACGTGACCCTCCGAGCGCAGCTCCAGAAGGGCAGGCCCTGACCCCCTCCGCCAGGACCCCAGGCTCCATCCCTGGATCCCCTCAGGACAGAGCATAGAACAGGCAGGCACAGACGAGCATCACCTAGACCCCAAAGTCCCCCAGTCAGGAGACAGGAAGGCTGAGAAAGCCAATCAAGTTCTCAAAACTGCCTGCAGCCAATGGCCAAGAGGTCTTGGGCAGAGAACCTGGGTCCCCTTCCTCTCCAGGGTGGGGGAGGTCCTCTGTCCCTCCGCCCCAGAGGAAATCTAAGCCACAGCAGACTCAAGACTCAACTCCCACTGCGTGTCCAGACCAGGGACCCTCCCCACACTCACACCCCCCTGAAAGACAGTGGACCACCCACAGGGACCCAAACAAGAAAGGGACTTGGTGCCTGAAAAAATACTCATCAGTCCCCCCAAAATGAGCTACCCAGCAGGATGAATAGCCCAGCCTCCTGCTCAGTCCAAGGGCCCAGGGGCCACTTCCAGGCACCCAACACAGACAGGGGTTTGAGGGCCAGGAAAGCGACTCTTCAAAGCCCTGCCATGGCTGTCCCTCAGGCTCTGCTACCCAGCTTCGGGACAGGAAGGCCATCGCGTCCACCCCGATGGCCATGAGATTCCTGTACAAGATTGTCGGTCACAGTGCCACAAAGGCCAAAATCAGAGACCCTGCCCCAGCAGGGAAGCAGGGACCCCTCCCTCTCGGTCTCCCTCTCTCTCATACACACGCACACACCGCACGCACACGCGTGGGTCCAAGGAAGGGGCGTGCCCCCCACCCTGCGCCAGCAGAGCCAGGAAAATAAATAAACCAGCATTCGCACACCACCTGCCTCTCCACTGCCCACCTCGCTCACCCCAAAGGGAATCCCAGAGCTCCGTGGGGAGCCCACTCTAGTCCCTCCCTCCCTCCCCCTCCCAGGGGCACCATCTGTGGATACCTGAGATTGAGTACCCGAGCGGGGGGCGGCCAGACGGCACCCCCCGATTTCCCTGAACGTCTCCAATGGCTTTCAGTGGGGTGGGGTGGGGACAGGAGTGGCCCACGGGAACCCCTGGTCAGCTATGGCTCTGTGCAGACTCCTTCCCAACCTGGAGGGAAGAACCTGGAGGCCCAGTAACCGCACCGGGCAGGGGACTCCCCTGGGCCCCACTCCACCCCTGAACCCCACCTTGGGGAAACACAGGGGTGGTGGCAATGGGGGAGGGGAGGGCTGGCCGGCTGCCACCCAAGGTCCCCTGGGAACAGATGGGAAGAGTTAACAATCATGGCTATTTACAGACCGGGCCCCGGCCCCCTCCCAGACCCCTCGAGGGCTGACCCAGGTCCAGTATGGGGCCCCTCCCGTGTCTGAGCAGGGGTGGAGGATGGGGACACACGCTGGTCCAGGCCGGGAGCCCCGGAGGGCAGGTGCGTCCCGTTGCTGGTGGTCCTGCCGAGGGCTGGCCGGGCCCACAGCCCTA